TTCACTAATTTATATAATAAGTAAATTATTTATTATATAGATATTTTAGTTTCTTCTTAATTTTTTTTATTAAATTTAACTTCGTTCGTATTGGTTTTTTTTTGAATAAATTAGTTTCTTTTAAAAAGATGTATGTTTAACGAAAAACATCTTTTACTATTCTAAATTATAAAATTAATTTTTAAAATTTTTTATGAATATTTTACAAATAGATATTTATTAAATTAACTTTTAATTTAAAACTTCTAGTCGCATGACTTAAATGAAAAATCTCTAAATCCTAATTCTTGTAAAATTCAATTACTGTCATATTATATATCGTGTTGTGTCTTTAGTACTATTAAGAAGAGACTTTGTTTAATATGTGGACAACAGTTATTAAAAAATAGTTTCGAAACGAAATAAAAAGATGACATAATTCATATATCGTACTATATCTAAAATACATGATTGTCTATTTTTAACATTCAGTTTAATTGAAAGTATAAGAGTTCATTACGAGAAAATCTTATTCTTTCTTATACAATCTAAATTTCAGATTATCTAGAAATTTTTAATCTAAGTATTCTCAAATATCCCTTATCCAACTCCATCAAGTACCAAACAAATATCAAATTATGTATCTTGTTTTACATGTAAGTAGGTAGATCCTAAAATCAAGTTAGTTCAGTCAATTAATTCTTTAATAAAAATCTAACATTAATTTGTTTCTATGTCAACTATACAAGGGGTATAAATTATTGATCACACAAATGATGTAAATTACTAAAATGTCAACTAAAATATACAGAAAATATATCATACTATTATGATAGAATCATCTTAGAATAAATGAGTATTCAATAAAACCCAGGTACAAAGAAAATTACTTACAATCCATGGTAAAAATAAAATGTTGCCTTATATGTTATTACCTAATTGAATAATAATTGCTTAGAAGTGTATATATATATATATATATATATAGAGAGAGAGAGAGAGAGAGAGAGGCTAGTATTTTATAATTACATGCATTTATCATCCCATGTGATTGTGAAAATAGCTGGAGGATACAACCAAAAGCTCTCCTACTCGAAGTAAACAGGAACAAAGTGAGAAAAGAATTAATGGACCACATGACTTGAGTTTTGCAGCTTCATCTGTTTGTTTCACAGGATTAAGGTGCATATATTATCTACATCTGCATATATATGTACATATTCTCAATACATATATATATGTACATATATACTTATCAAATTATATTTATATATATATTTATCATGTAAGTCATGTGACTCTTTTGCATTGTTAGATACCATATACCTTCTTCTTGGAAGCAATTGTGGGTTAAGTTGGTTACAGGCGCATCTAATCCAGGTTGCAACCCTGCAAGCATATAACATATGCATACACGCATATATATATATATGTATATATATATGTATTATTCTTCAGGAGCTATAAATGCTCATTTGGAGATAAGAAGAAGAGAAGGGCCTAGCATGAGAGAAGAGAGTGTGTCAGCTTAGCCAAGGAGACTGCCTGAGAAAACCAAACAAGAAGGCCTTAAATTAATTTCTCTCCATTTTAATCTTCAAACCCTCATTGTTGTGGCCTCAGGCAAGTCATCCTTGGCTATCCAACAACACTCTCATCCCCATGTAAGGCCTCCCTTCCTCAAATAGTTCCAATACATATACGAAACATATATAGATCAACAATGTGTATGTATCTATATATGTATCACCTTGTTTGAAGAACACCTAGAGGAGTTTACAGAGTTTACAAATATAGACGGTCACAAAACTTATGAAATCTGTCAACCCATCTGTATTTTGGGAAACGTAATAATTTTTCAGAGTATTTAATGAAGAAGAGAAGGCCTAAAATGAGAGAAAAGAGCCTGTCAAGTTAGCCAAAGGAGACTGCCTAGATGAATTAACCCAACAAAAATGGCTTCTTTAGATAATTTATGAAGGGCATCATGCAGGCAAGTCATCCTTGGCTACCAAACAGCAACACTCTTATCTTCATGTTAGACCTCTCTTCTTCTTCTTCTTCTCAAAGAACTAATCACTACTTGAGAAATATTGTTTGTAGGATGCCAAGACATTGATTTGAGGTCTCTATTTATAACCCATAAAAGAATACCTATATACATATATAAAGATTCGAATCTCCTATAATGTAACTTATGGGATGGGATTTTATCATTTTTTTCTTCTCTTGAATTCATGCACCTAATCACATATGGCTTTTTTGCTTATCCATATACACATTAATACAACTTTAGCTATATATGTATTTGTACATGTTCATATATATCCTCCTTGAAACAGCCCATAATGGAATATATTCTCTTCCAAAAATGAAGGGACCCCCCATATGTAACTGTCTTTGTATACCTCACAAGGGTGAAGATGGAAGTTTCCACACAGAGATTTAATGGAAAGTCCATTGCAGTAAAAGATTTGGTTGTGAATTAATGGCACAACTTGTATCTGACCTTTAGCTCATTCAAAGAGGTTGGTTGTACCAAAAAATAAAGTTCATATGCAATATGCCCCCGTCTTGTTTCACCATTTTCCTAATTTCGTTTACTTATTTTTTTCCTTATTTTCTTGGGTACTTACAGTTTTGGAATTCAGTTCATGTTGTTTCAAATATTCTAGTTTTGGATAAAGCTAATGTACACTTGCATATATGTTGTGTGTGTCTGTGTATGAAACCTTAAATAACAATAACTTATTATTTTCTTGAAGAGAGTAATTTGGTAGAGTTTATATTTCCTTATCCTCTCAAACCCAATAATAATCTGAAATTATGACTCAAATTAAGAATTTCAAACTACCCAAATCTTCAATTTAAAGCCTCCATGAATTTATGAGATATTTATATATGGGCCTCTGATTTCTTTTTCTAGTGAGTTCTTTGACCATCTTGATGTATTCTTTTTGGTCACAAGGGTTTTGACCTAACAACTACCGAAAGCAAAAGAATTAAAGCATAAAATCTTTGGTTATGGATGCTATATAGAACCCTTAAAAAAGAAAGGATAGATCAAAACCCTTTCTCCTATTCTCCATTTCATTTTATTCCAAAATTGGCATCATCAACCCTATTGGTTGAGATGCTCCCACCTAAACAAAGTCAATGCCTTTGCCACTAAATAAAGTTCTCAAAACCAAGAAAAGACCAACTCAGAATTGCATGGCCTCCCTCATTCGTGGTTTGGTTTCTGTCTTTTGCTTTTAATTTAGAACATGTATAAGATAATTTCCATTCACTTCAAACATAAGATAATCATTATCTAACTTAAAATTATGAACAATTATAAAATTTTTGTCTTATCATATAATAGAATTGTGTTTCTCCTTGTTGCAATATGAATATATTCACAAATAACATAAGTTTTATGTTCATTTTAAAGATACCGTTAGTTTAAACATATCAAAAATATTAAAAATAAGAGCATTAAAGGAAAATCTTTTGCCCCTAACGTCAGTATACATTTATATAAGTATTTATGAGAACTTGTTTATTTGAGTGAGGAAAAAATAGTTTGATTCACATATTTCCGATCAACTAATTATATTATTGTATATTTTAAAAATGTATTAAGAAAATTATTTTCAGAAGAAGAGCTTTTATGCGCAAATTTACAATTAAAATTCATAGTAAGAAGCGATTCTTCTTAATATCAATAAGAAAATTTTGAATTGAACGATTATCTCAATGAAATTTTGTCTTGTACAAACGTTTTAGTTGAGGGCAAGAGTAACCCCTTCTTATGACCAAAAAAATTTCTGCAGTTCTAATCAATAAAGGAGATTTGAAAAGCTTTTCATATACTATTTACCCCCGAATGAAGAAATCTAGTTTATCAGTATAGCTACGCCGATATCGGGGCTATAGGTTTCAAATTATTATTGACCAAAATCCCACGTACAGCACCAAAATATGGTTTAAATGAGGTATTATCTTATCAAAATTTTACATTATAAATGCACATTGCTTTTGAGAGAGAGAGAGAGAGATCTCCTTGTGAAATATTTCTCTCCATTCTAATCAATGTGGATATTAGATAATATTTTGTATATTTTTTGAAATAAACAAATAAGACTAAATTATTAACGTCCTTCATCTTCCATATCTTACCTATCCTCTTACATATGTAGCCTAGAGAAACAGAACCAATAGTAGGTAAGTAATTGGACATGAGAATCCTCGTCCTAGTCGAGAAAAAAAACCAATAGAAAAATCAAAGTTGTGTAACTATGGTGCAAAAAATTTGTGGTACAAGGGATAAATCTCGAAATGAGGCAATCCTCATTTGCCAGCATTAGCAAGTATCTTGATGCAGATTCCGGATGTGTCTGCTCATTACCAAAACTTGAAATAGATAAATAAAGAAAAAAGCAAACAGAAAATTTAGCCTCTTACCCGCCACATTATCTTGGTGGCCTCCTACTTGCTTTTGTGCCTCAACCCAGAATAACGATTATTTTGTTGGTTACCACTTTGGTAATTCCCTCTTTGTTGTCTGTTTCTTCTTCCGCTGCAATTATTACTCTTTCCCTGTTTATCAAAGTCGTCATGTCCTCTAGGTGCATGCTCATTGACCTGTTGAGGTTGCCCATCACCCAAATGCCAGAAGCTACCAAATCTATGGGAGTGGTGGCGGTGGTTTCCAGCATAACCGCCTTTAAGAGAAGGGTAAGCAACATCTTCTAACACCGAGGCTGTATTCTGGTTTACATCGCTTGGTCCATTGTTTTGATCGTTATAATCTGATGGGTAACTCACGGGCCTTGAATACTCTCTGCTGTTTTCAGCAGGATAGTTATCTCGTCGGCGGTGAGGATGATATCCAGTTTGTTGTGCGTGCGAAGCTGATACCCTCCGTTGTTTATCATAACCATGCGCATATTGAGTCTGAAAATTGGGTCTCGAAGTACAGGTTTCACTAATGTCAGAATAGTCTGTTCCTGGTGGCTCCGTTTTATGATGTACCTGATTCTGGAACCATAATTTGAATCAGGTGGTGGGACATGGTGAACCCTGCTATATGCAGATGATGGAATATGTGTATGATTGTGGTAGTCATTTACCTTCAACTGTAAGCTATTAATGACAAGACGATGTGATGCCTCCCCAAGCTGGTGGCCAGAAATGGCTCCAGGATGGTTTTTCCTGAAAATGAAGGGATAAGCATATGTTCAAACATTTATAGGGGAAATACCAACCAGAACCTTAATTAACATGCAACCAGTACAAACAAAAGTAGCCATTTCAAAGAACCTGGAGATAAAGACTAGCTACCTTTCTCTGTGGCATGGTTTCTTCTGATGTGATGCCTCCCCAAACTGGTATTTCTGCCTGAGAGTGAAGTGATAAGAATAAATTCAAACATGGGAGAAATACACAAGCCAAAACTTAGTTCACATGCAATCAACACATACAAAAATAATCATTTCAATGGAGCTGGAGGTAAAGGTTAGCTACCTTTCTCTGTTCCATGGTTTCCTCATAGACTCTTCATGCCATAAAACAGGCTCATCTTTCAAATCCCCCAATTGCACTATCTGCAAATCACAAAAATGAGCATCCAAAGGTCAAATCCTAAAAAGGTGATTTTATAGATATTTGAATGTCAAAAGCATACGCACATTCAAATGATGGAAGTCCCACAACAACCATTAACGTTGTCATACAGCAAGTATAATGAAAGATACCATGACAATTCAAGCATACTTTGGTTTGAAGATGATTGACCATGACAGAAAAAAAAAACAAAGAATTTAATACATGGCAATCCAATGAAGTAATTATCAAGGTTGCACAGCAACAAACTCTTAATCTTGAGGATCATCAACCCAAAGAAGTGTTGAAAAATTCAGTAACTTTATCATTTGTTGGGAAGAAAAAGATGTCTGAGGATTTATAGGGATGCCTATATCAAGAAGAGAAGATGTTATAAATAGGAAAATAACTGTATGGGAGAAGATCTACCGTATAGGAAATACTATTATGTAGGAAAATATACTCATACTATCAATAGTCCCCAAAGTAGAGCACAAGTCATATGTACTGAGTTTCCTTCTAATAATTTGTATCTTTTTCTTCTCATTCTTTTTTGAAAAAAAGTTACAAATAAATTTATCACCAATTCTACTTGAGGATCTTGTGAATAATCTGATAGGTGGTCCACAATGAGTGTACTTCTCTGGTGCACAAGTAAGACAGTCACCTGGGCCTCCCTTTGGCCCCCCACCTAGCATCTTGAATAGATGTATTCTCATGAAAGAAGACCTAAATACTTGTGTCTAGAATTTCAGAAAACGAGTTCAACACTTCCTAAAATATTGTAAACTGTATGCTCACCGGATCAACCCTAGTTGCAATCCAGCCAAGAAAACCTAGTAACTGTTCTTATTGCTTTTGAATTGCCTTCAAATAAGCATTCTAGGCTGAATCACGTTCAACTCATCATATACTCACTGTAACCAGAAATATGCTTGTTAATTATTTTCTATCCTTCAAGGGTCACAAGCAAATCCACACAAATGCATATAGATCATTCTGCTACCAAACAAGAACTCAACATATATTCACATTTGGTTTGTAGATAAATTAAGGGGAGTAGACATGTCAACAACAATATGTTCCATGAAATTCTACAAGACATAATTTTGCATCCTCTAGCTGTCAACCATAAGTTTAAACATATTATCATTCCATAAATCAGTAAGCTTATTGATGTTTATCATCTTGTTTATATCCTAACCAGTTGAATACTTCTTGACCACTTTAACCTGCTGTACATAATTACTCGATTCAAATAATAATTTGACATAGACGAGACCAACTTAGTCTCAAAATTATTCTTTGAGAAGCTCAGTAACAAAAATATGAAGAGCTTGACAGAGAAGTATCTCAACCTTGAACCAGAATGACATGTCCCACAAGAAATTGAAGAGCTCATTAGGCCAATTTAAGTCCATTCAGATTCGTTCACCCAAAGTTGATTGTAGTGATGCATGAGCCTCACATGTCAATCGAAAGCAGTGAATACCCGCAAAGATGTTGCCTAATACCACAAACTAGCTTGGCTGGCCATGCACAAGCTACACATGCAGCTTGCAAACTTGATTTCTATCCCCTTCGATTTTAGACCATAACGTTTTTTTTTTATGGTGTATGATGGTCTACAATCATATTCTTTTATAGTGGTCGGCAGTCTACAACTTATGGATTATGATTTATGACTTGTTGGGCATTAGCTAGGTAGGTCATTGCAAGTTCGGTGAGAGATGAATTATGGGCTTGGGAAGGAATCAGCAAGGGGAGGAAAACTGTAAATCTCATGCCACTAAATAAATTTTGGGTTGTATAAAAAGAAAGAAATCAAAGAGCTTTTGAAGGGATTGAACCTTATCTAGGACTGATGGTTACACTATATGAGCTCTTTGGTCTTAGGAGATGATATAAATAGGGTGGAGGATTTTGGGAGTTTTACAGATACACTGAATGACTTGAAAATATTCTTGTACATGGATGGCATTCCCTTGGTGCCTATGTGTTAATATACATTTTATACTTTTTATTTTAAAAAGAGAGAACATAGCGATTTCTTGTAACATGAATTCTCTCTTTCTTTCTTATTAAATGTAAACTCACACTTTTTTGGTACTATTGAAGGAAATATTGTAACTTCATATATGTTAGAAAGAAATTAAACATGGTATTTACAGGGACCTTTAAATTGAAAAAAGAAAAAAAGAAAAGGAAAAGGTATGAACAGGATTATACTAGAGCAGACCTATATAGGAAAAAAATGAGAAAAAACTATGAATGAAATCTTTAAGATAGAACCTGCATATCTAACTTAAAAGAGCCCTTGGACATACCTACGACAACATTTGGACAAAAAAGTATACAATAGAAAAAGAAAGATAGCATTGTACACAACTGGAGAAGATTCTAAGGAAATAAGAATAATTTCATATAAAAATCTTGCACTCAAGCAAAAAGCAAAAATTAATCAATATAGCTACCTTTTGAGGGAACATTACACCAGAAGGTGGACGTGGAATGTGCTTATGTGCATCTGGAAGTTTATATAAAGCACATCTGAAAAAGTAACCAATGAAAAGAAATCAACTAAATGTTTACATTCAACAACAGATCAGGTTCAAGATATTCGGCCAACTCAATCAATCTGGCAAACAATCAGAACCAATGCTTAAAACCTTACATGACTTCATTTCCTGAAATATCTTCCATGCTCTCAATGGGGGACCTGAAAATGGAAGGACGAGCATCCCCAGCACAAGGGGATATGTAACCATTCATACCATCCCTGCATGTAGCCGTAAACAAATCCAGAAAGTTGAAAAGACATGCTAAACATCTCCCAAATAGACGCCACGGTAAGTGACTCGAATTAAACCATACATTTATCTTCTGACAAGCATCAAATATGTATACAAACCATAAAATTACTTTATCATAAGCATACAATGGGTACCATGTGATACAACTCCTCTCAACTATTCTTTAGAAGGTTGCTGATCCAGGCTTCAAATTAGCATATACTCTGATTCTGCATTTCATATTCTAATACTAGCTCTATATTAATTTAAAAAGAATAATCAAGTACATCCAAAGAGTGCAGAGTGTATGGAATTTGGTTGACATAAGATTCTTGAAATCAAGTACTAAAATCAATCACTCTTTTGGATTGTCATAGAAGCTCAAACTCCGGATCAAGTTTGTCAGCTCCCAACTTTGATCTGATTATTACGAACAAAGTGACATTGAAGGATCAAAAGGCTCACAACTAGTCTTGTTTAGTGTGTGGAAAATGATTGTAAAGCTATTTTCCTTGTTGCGGAAAGGCAAAATCAACAAAAAAAACATTTTTCAGATAAAAGAAATGAAGCAAACAAAACAGTTATTTGCATAAAGTTCAAGTTTTGCAACACGAACCTCAAATCAGGATTAAGTTTTTCTTTAACTCCTATTCTTTCTCTGTAACTCAACTTTTTGCAGCGATTGTCAAGAGAAAAAATGTATTCAGAGAGGCAGTGAGATGTTCCAACAAAGATCATGTCAAACATCCTGCTGTTTCTGCGCACTTCTTCCTCCTATATAAATCAAATAAAAAGAAAACAAATCTGAATTCTGAAAGCAAAATAGTAATTTCTAATTGAATGACATTGAAAACAAATAGGAACTGATGGAAAACTTTGCTTGAATTTTATTTAACATACTGTAAGGGTGTTTTCTACTTTTGCAACCTCAGCAAGAAGACGACTTTCATCAATAAAAGGCAACTTTGCAATACCCTTCAACAACAAAGAGAAGATATGTCAACTTCCACTTACATAAGACTGCAGTTTCCTGCAAGTAATCATGTATACAAAGCTACACTTTAACAGCAGGACACAGACATACCTGCCAGGAATAACGTTTTCCATTCATGTCCACTTCAAAGTCTTGCACACACAAAAAGATTCAAGAGACTTAGATGCAAGGATTCAAGAAGAAAAAAATCATACCTTTTACATTAGCAAAAGCACATACCAGTAGGATAAAAATCGATAATGGGAGATTTTGGGTCAGTCATCAATTTCCTATAATGCTCAGGAAGCGCATGGGCACTGAATGACAAACATGGTTAGCAATTCAATAGATATGAAATAGTTTTGGATTTTTAGAAGAAACAGTGAGGAAACTTAATGAAACTAGCATACCTTGCAGCTGGGAAGACACCCAACAGTTGATTGAAAGGCTTGAAAGGGAAGCCCAGTTCAAAGCTAATATCTAGCTGCTCAAGTTCCTTGAGATCAGAAGCAAAAGGTGCATAATGATATGGATAAAACCTATCAAATGGAAACTACAACACTGAGATCAAAGGCAATTAAAAGCAACCAGAAAATTTACAATCTGAACTACAAAATAATTCTGGCCAAAGCAAAAAAATGAACTGCACAATCATCCTTGAGGCTAAAACAATAAAATTTAAAATTCAAAACCACAAAAGTAAAAAATAAACAGACTAATCGTAATTGTAGACATTTAACATCCCATCAAATACAGTGTCCTAACAAAACAGAAAAAGTCATCTAAATCCTATTTTAGATGGTTGTGGATTAATTTTTTTTTTTTTTTGGAAACAAAGATGGTTGTGGATTAATAACCATATAGGATAGCATTAATCCAATTTGACAGCATGAACTTTGACAGAAAGCATCAGCAATTTAATGCACAATGGTAAGGAAGCACTGGGACGGAAAATTTACTCAGATTACTAAAATATTTGCCCGATATACAACACTTGTGAATATCAGAAATTCACGCGAACATGGTTACCAGCCACAAAGAACAGGCAGATCTTAGCAGAAGGAAATAGACAAGGAACTTACCATTGCCAGGAACAAACGCCTTCATAGTAATAGTGCATGACCCAACATAGGCCTTCTGTATACCTCAAGACCTACTCGGTGGAAGCATAGGCCTATTAGATAAGCCTAAAA